TAAGGAAGAAATCGTCGGCTAAAGATCGTGACCGCTCAAAAAACGCTTAAAATGTGCCGAAAATCTCTATTATTTCTGATCTGAAACTTCTACCATGTTTTTCAATGAGCTCGATGAATTCCTCGCGCCCGTGAGCTGAAAATGATGTAAAATTTAAGACGTTTTGAGAAAATTTTAATGTTTTCAAAAAATCGACCTTCACCCTTGGAAAAATTTTCTTCAGAAATGAAAATTTTACATGCTGGTTTTTGAAGTCAATCGATTCCTTTCGACGCAAGAAGGTCACAAATATGCATTTATAAAGTATTTGGCTCAATAATAAGGAAGAAATCGTCAGTTAAAGATCGTGACCCCTCAAAAAACGCTTAAAATGTGCCGAAAACTCTATTATTTCGGATCTGAAACTTCTACCATGTTTTTCAACTAGCTCGATGCATTCCTCGCGTCCGTGAGCTGAAAATGATGTAAAATTTAAGACATTTTGAAAAAAAATTCATCACCGAAAATGACGAAAGTCTTGTAATTAAGAGAACGAAACAAATTGAGACAAACTAAGCATTCAATGCTTTAAAACTGATAATAGCATAAAAATTATTTACTTTTTGGGCCTCTAACTAGCATAAAACATCATCGTATTACCCCTACCCAGGGCGTCTTTTGACTGCCCAACAACTACTCCAGAGCCTCAAAACGTACTCTGTACTTGGAAAAATCGCTTTCTTTTAAAAGAGAAAAAAAAAATTTTTCTTACGCGTTTAGGAAGACCAAGAATCGCTTTGCCTGTGTTACGTCTTTACTTCCCCGAATTAATCATGCGGTTTCTTGAAAATCGCACAAAATAGGCGCAAACCCAAAATCCCCGACTTTTTCAGAGTGCAGGTGATAGTGGCGGGCGAATACGACTATTCCGACCCGAAAATTCAAGCACAAATCGAAAATTTAACGCGCACATTTGAAAACACTTCGTACATAACGAACAGCCTCTACACAGAGTCCTGGCTGCGAAGCTTCCTGCAATACGTCGACAGGAACGCCGATTATCTGAACATCTCCATTAATTCCCGAAAGAACTTCATGGAAGCTTTGGAAGAGGTTGGTTGAACCCTCGTACTGAAGGAGTAGTTTGATGATTTTTTTGTAGCGCAAATGGTTGGATCCGTCCAGTGCCTTTTCGCTGGACGTGAAGTTTGATGAGAAAAACGAGAAAATTATCGCGATGAGGTTCCTGATCCAAGCAGTGAATATTTCGGGCACCGAGCACGAGAAGGAGATGGTGCGGGCCTTGAGGAAAATCTGCAAAGATTCACCATTGAATGTCACAGTTTTCCATCCTTACTTCGTCTTCTTCGACCAGGTGGGATACCGACCATACGCTTGCCTGTTGTAGTTTGAGTAATTTTTTGATTCCAGTTCGAGCTAGTGCGGCCTTTAACCATACAAAACGTTCTAATCGGGGGCGGCATCATGATGATAGTTTCCTTCATTTTCATCCCCAATGTCTTTTGCGCCGTTTGGGTGGCCTTCAGCATCATCTCCATCGAACTGGGCGTGATCGGCTACATGGCCTTATGGAAAGTCAACTTGGATTCCATTTCCATGATCAACATCATCATGTGCATTGGATTTAGCGTAGACTTCACTGCTCACATTTGCTACTCCTACATGTCCTCCACAGAAAAGACTCCCAATGAGAAGATGAGGATGGCTCTATATTCGCTGGGATTGCCAATATTTCAAGGTAGAACTCGATAAGTTATATATTGTTGAGGCGGATTCATTTTTTTACAAACTTCTTGTTGGGTACTTCGCCTCAAAAATGTTTGTCTTTAAAAAAGAGAGAATTTCCTCACGTCTTCTATTACAGATTGATAAATAGTGCTCCTATTTCGCAATAAGAACGAATTATTTATCAAAAAGTAATCAAGAACTA